AAACTGAACAAAAAGAAACATTCGATTCTGCTTTCGTCTCCCTTTTTGAGCGATCGCTGGCTGCCAAAGCCAGACTTTGCTTACGCTGCCGCAATAAGCTTGGCAAAGAGAGCGGTGCTTTGTCGCTCTCTCTCTCTCTCGCACCGAAATGCGTCGCCTAATCTGCTGGTTGTTGTTGTTGCGAGACAGACGCGTTCAATCGTGCTCTACCGAAAGCACGAAGCAGAGCACCCGAAAGAGCAGGTAGAAAAGGTGCTCGGGTCAGTGAGAGAGCGAAAAAATATCGGCTGTGCTTTCTGCAGTGGAAAAAAATGTGCCGTGGGTTGTTTGCGTTTCGTAAACTGCCGTTCAATCTGATATCTTTTGTTCTAATCATCATCCAAGCCAAACAAATCTGTTCTCTTGTCTTTCTTGCTGCTTAAAATTACAGAATCTCTGCGGTGGTTGGGGCATAACAAGCGACGAGTAATACACTCCACAGTTAATCATACAGCTACAAGATACGAGTATGTGTGTGTTCTGCGAGTGTAGGTGTGTTGTGTGGGAGGAAGGCATACATATGTGGGCACGCCCACCACTTTGTACTTGATTTTCGTACAAAACTGTCTGTTTAAAGGACACAAAAGTGAAATTGTCTCCTTGGGGGGTGACTCCACCAGCAGCAGCCCACGTGCAGAAGCCGAAAAAGAAATGTGTGGGGGGGGGGGGGGGGGGCCGTGAGGGGAAATGTATTTAATATGCAAATCCTGTGTGTCCTTTGAGATGATTATGGCGCACATTATGTCCCAAACAGCACACGTACACCCACACGGGGCCCCATACAATTATTGATTTTAAAAGCCGCTTTTCCCGTAGCCCGCAGCCCACCCCTCCCCCCCTTTGCTGGAAAACTGTTTGCTCTGACAAATTGACGACTAATTTAAGCGAAATTAAAGAAGCTTTCGAGGCAAGGCAGGAAAAATCGAGCTGAAAATTAATATAAATAGGAAATGAACTTTTTGCTTTGTTGGATTTGTTTTGTGTGCCGCACCGCGTGGAACTTTTCCAATTTGTGCACGAAAACGGAAGATAAACATAGACGTAGACACGGACAAGGACATGGACACGGACATGGTCGCCCACTCGGACCCCGATATAGATGTAGACGTAGGCAAACAGCAAATGCACCTGCACGGACATCCACACCTGCCTCCCCCCTCCGCCCACGCTCCAGCCACAGCCGGAAAAACTAATCGAACCGAAATACTCGAAATGTTTGCCTGATTTCTCGAGAGTACGCGCTGCCTGAAATTGCAATCATTGAACAGAATTATCCTTTCGTTTCTTTCGCTTCTTTCGCCTCTTTCGCCTTTTTCAACCTTGTTTTTGCCGCCTCCATCCGGGCCCATGACGCTGCCCGGCTTTAACAAACTTGAACGAACTTGTTACACAAAAAAAAGAGAAGGAAAAAAAAGGAGAGAAGAACTATCCTCCGATGGTCTGTCGATAAATTAGCTCTCTTTGGGGTCCGGGCCCCCCAGTCGATAATTGCGTGGAGTGCAGTGCACGGCACGGACAGCCGTGGTCGGGGGGGGGGGGCGGTCGGAGGGGGGTTTATCTTGGCTTTGATTGCATTTAACTCGATTTAGTACATCTCGGACTCCGTCCTGTCCTGGACTCCGTCCGGCTACACACATATTTTTGGGCCCTGGCGAGTCCCTAATTAAAATACAGGCATCCCTTTTTTTCTCGCCTCTTGATAAGCTTCATCTCCATCTAAATTATGCTTTCTCCCCCCGCCTTTGGCCTTTTCTGGCACATGCTCGCGAAAAACAGCTGATTTCAGGCTGGCGTTGCCAATTTTCGCTGCCATTATTGAGGGTTTTTCTCCGGCAACCACTTCCGGGGTTCCCGCATCTTGTCTCCAGTTTTCTCCGGTTCTTCGCGTACCGTCATTAGGTCCTCCCTGGCCTTGGCAAAAGTCGTAAAGTAAATTTTTTAATTAGAGTCACGAGTAAAACAAACCAATTAGTATGGCTGTCAGAGCAATCCTTTTCCGGTCCCCAAACCCCACCCCACTCCACCCTACCCTTTCCTGTTGTATTTTTAATTTCTTGGCCATGTTTTGGCCATGCCCACCCCGCCCGCCTCTGGCCACCGTTAGGGCTGTGTGAATTATTGAAAAAGTAAATTATGTGAAAAGGGCAAATTCCGTGCCATTTTCTTTTGGGTTTTTCTTTACGATTCTGACACTCTTTCGGGCGCATCAAGTGTCTCAGAGAAGTCCGGGACACCCTGTACAGCCACCCTGTCTGCTAACCAAAAATGTAGTTTTAATTAAATAGCACAATTGGCACTGCCAGGCACCTTTCCTCCTTTTCCTCCTTTCCCCCCCTTCGAAGGCAAACTTCTTGGTGGCTGGTTTTTCCTTTTTTGGTTTTACTTTGTTTTGTTTTAGTTTTTTGGCTGGCTACGTGAGCGGCATGACCAATGCGGCGAGGGGAGGGCTCCAGTGGGGGCCTGAAAAGTTTTGAACCCAAAAAAAAAAAAAGAAGGCTAGGAAAACGCTCCGCTGGGCGTTCGTTCTGGCTGTGGGTGTGGTCTCTGCTGTTGCAGTTTATGTTTACTGCATTTTGGGGCCACAACTGGGCCCCCACACCCCCTCCTGGCCAGCAGCTGCTGCGGTTGGGGCTGTGTTTTGTTCTCCCCAACAGGATATCTGTTTGTCCCAGGACAATCGACTCTCGTCTTGAGGTGGAGACCAGGCCAAAACCTGGCTAAATAAAATTCTTGGCTATAAAGCATATTATTACAGCATTTATCTTGGCCCGCTCTTGGCGGCCATTTGGCAGCGAGAGAGAGAGGACTTCCAGCTCATTTAACCCGCTGAAGACACAGCTTCCCTGGGATGCTTCATTATCGGCCCCCCCCCTCCCCACCCCCTACTTATGCGGAGATATTGCTCAAGTGCTGAGCAAAGTCCTTGTTGGTTATTTACTCGGCAGGAGCAGCACTCGAATGCATTCGCATGGAGGCGAAGGAATTGAAATGTATTGATTTATGGCAGCAAGTGGCGGAGAGACCACCCCCCCACACCCCTCCCCCCTGCGAAGGTGGTGGAAACTTGGTCCTGGCTGTGGTCCCTGCTCAAAGTTCAATAAAGTATACGCGCTGGTTGACAAGTCATAAGTTCTCGGTCAGTGCTGCACTGCACTCTGTGTCTCCCCCTTTGGAGAGTCCTGCCGGCAAATGCACTGCACTCTGTGCCCTCCCTTTGGAGAGTCCTGCCAGAAACTTGGCCAAAGTCAAATACGACAAAAGTTTGCCCACTCCTGCGACTGGCTAGGATATTAGCCAGTGCATTACCCTACAGTCCTTCGATATTAATTGAGTTGATTGATTGGGTTTTTGGTGTGGCGCTTCCTTGACCCCCCCCCTGTGACCTGTTGCAGGGCCTGCCAGTTAATTACTTTGATTTATACCCATGCGTGCAGCGGGTACTTTCAAATTAACCAAATCGCCCAACCAGATAAGCCCCTCCCACCACCCCTCTAGCCCTTGGATTTATTACAAATTTCCACTCATTTGGCAGGACACACACAAGCAAGGATTTATTGTTTTGTTACACCGATAAAAGCAGACAAAAAGTGCTCAAGTGCGACAGGAAAAAAAAAAATCGATAGGCATCGGCAATAAATTCAAATAAAAACCAAATGCCGGCTAATCTCCATTAGGCAAATGTGATCCAGCCAGGGAGGGTCCTTTGGCCAGGTGGAAAAGGTCATTGAGCACTGAACCGAACTGTGGGGGGGATAAACTTAATGGCATTTGAATTTCTTCATTACGCATACGACGCGTGGGCCGCAACAGGTGAAAGGAGCCTCAAAACGGGCTTCAGGTGGGGTCTGGGGGACACACATGAAAGAGATTCTTCCTGGCCAGATTTTGGTGTTCATTTTCATGGGATTATAAAGAGCTTCAAGCGATTAGGGCCACGGACCGAACATCAATAGAAAATTGCGGAGGGGCAGCCAAGATATTGATTGGCAGCAGGACGTGGGAGTCGTCGTAAAAGTGCTCCTTATTACTTACATTCGATACATGGGAGGCTGCCGATTGGCCATAAAGAATGCCGCACTTAAATGCTGCAAGTGCGAGTCATAAATGGGGCACGATATACACGGGATCCCCTGCATTTGCCTGATTGATGGCTCCAGGGTTCGTTCAACCCTGACTACAGCCTCCGTGGCTGGGCAACATTGTGGCCACATCCGTCCTGTTTCCGTGCCAGAGCCGAGTCTGTTTACGCTCGGCTTCAGCGACACAAGTTTTGTTATTAGAAAAGTTTTAATGTCTTTGGGCAAACGCACGACCAAGCAGAGGCCCCGACATGCATTTCCCTCTGAGGCCCTGTCTGTGCCACTTAATAAGCTCCATTTGGCGCCTGCCACAAACCAAAATAAAGCCTGTGTGACCTTCGGTTTGTTGGCTTTTAATTTGCCATCGGAAGGGTCCTACGCTCCGCTGAGCAGGTCCCCCCAAAAAAAAAAAAAGAAATTTACATAACTGAAAAAATATTGTGCGGGCCTAAACGAGGCACAAACGTGGCCCTGCGGCCCGCTTACAAGCATTTTTAAAGAGAGAAAACCAGATGTAAAACTTGGGCCTGCCAGGCAAATGTGTTTAACAAGGCAGGGGGGGGAGTAAGAGGGGTAGAGGGGGGTGGGGCAGGTCTATGTTTGCCTTGGCCAAAAAGTTAAAAGGCTGCCCCGGGCCTCGTGCGACTTTGTTTCGACTTCATTGATATTTCATTTGACCCTTTTGAGGCCAGAACTTGCCTCATGAGTGCCCCCCACCCCACCCCCCCGAGGCTATTGATTACCAAAGCAAAACAATTTACGATGCAAAGAGGTAGCAATTCGAATGTTTATTTATAACGCGGCAATAATTTGCATAAGCGACTGACACACGCGGCATTTAAACATCTACTTGGCGGGGGGCGGGGAAGGGGGGTGGGGGACTCAGCTGAGCTCTAGACCGGACTCTGGCCTCCGTTTCGGGTGCTTCCTTATATAGGCCTTGTAGTAAAAGTCCAAGAACATGGAGAACATAAAGATGTTCTGAATGAAACCGATGAATGCGATGAACACGGGAAAGTGGCAAGGATTCCGTACGATCACCAGCAGGAAGTGGCACGTGAGGTAGCCGAATTGTAGGAGCTGCAGCTGGGTGATGCGACGCTTCCACCAGAGCAGGTGCCGCAGGGCGCCCACCGAGGAGGCATAGTAGTAGGCGTACATGACGCTGTGCACCAGCAGATTGATGATGCCCAGCATCGTGCAGTGGGAGCCGCCGAGGAAGGTCATGTAGACGGAGACGCCGAACACCATGCCGCCGTGATGGTAGACATGCAGGAAGCTCACCTGCTCGTTCTTCTTGCGCAGGACAATGAACACCTGCGGAAGGGACAGAGAGGCGGTTACTCCGAAATACTCCCCCCAATGGACCGTCTACCGACCGTGTCGAGCAGATCCAGATACTTGAGCATATAGTAGCCGTAGGAGGCATACAGGACATTCATCATCCGCGGCGTGGTGTCCGTGTGGTCGACGGGCTGGCAGGACCAGCTGAAGCCCGGCCGCAGGTAGGTGTTCGAGAGGCCAAACAGAAAGACGCCCGTGTTGGCCACCACCTGGACGACATTGTACACCTGCATGACGGTCTTCAGCTCGTACGGCCGGCGGTGCGCCATCCACTTGGGCCCGTAGTGGAGCACAAAGGCCAGATAGAGGGCCACGAAGGCCAGGACAATCCACAGATTGCCGACCAAAGGCAGGTGGGCCACCCGTGGATCGCCATGCTCGGCATACAGATCCCGTAAAAGGCAATACAAGTAAGCCACCACGTTGTGCCGCATCCTGACGTTAGTTTTGTCCTTGCCTTGTCGCTTGAAACACACGCAGCGCCAGGTCTCAGCCCCACGAAGGTCTTCAGTCTTCTGAAATAGACCAGAGTACGGCCCCCAAACCGAATCCAAAGCGTCGAGGCTATGGTAATGACCGGCAAATGAGAAACAGCACGCATTCCCCATTGAACCCGAGACACCAGAAGAAGGCCTCTGCCCAGAAGAAAGGGAAAACGATTACTATATGGAACACATTGTTTCTTCTTCGATTTGCCGTTGCCAGACACAAAGTTTTTGCGCCGACAAGATTTTCCCATTATTCGACAATGGGGGAAAAGTTCCTCGATAGCAGAGTGGTAAAAAATGATGTTACTCAACACTAATCGCTGGCCCCGCAGCCATCCAGGGATGGTATATGCATCTAACCCAGTTTCGGAGAGTATGGCTATAAATTTTGCAGCATAACTGCCAATAGAATCGCAACTGTTTTGAAATTAAGCCAAGAAGAAAGAGGAGAGAGGGAGGAGGGAGGAGAGAGCGAGGGAGCAGCATCTGCTGTGACCCACTGCCGTGGCAAGTCCTTACAATGGCTGTAAATAGCCGCGGGCATTGGACAAATGGCTCTTAAAAGCAACAACAGGGATACCCTTTGGAGGGGCTATAACCACCCAGGGAGTGGGAGGACCCTGTTTTACGAGCTGGGGGGGGGGGTGGCGAGCAGCAGGTGCAATTTGTGTGGCAGCCATTTTGTGGTCGAAAGTTTAAAGAGTGAGACCAGGAGCCCGGGGCTCGGCAGGGTTTTAAGTAAATGCAGCACTTGCACGCCTCGGGAATCAATCAATTGAGCGGCAGGCAAGCAGCAGCCACTACAAGGCCGAAAGTGGCCACGAAATTGGTGGAGAGAGGGGGAGGGCTGTGGAAGGCCCTTACTTGAGTCCTTAAGCCGCAAATGATGCGTTCGTACGTGTACGCATGTCCTTGAGGCCTGCATGTCGTGACCTTGTTGGGGCCAGCCAGGCCAGCCACCGACAAAACAATCATTTGCATGCCGCCACCCCAAAGGACAATGAAACGGACGGCGGCTCATTTGCACAAATAAGCCATAACCGCATGGCGGCCATTTTCGGAAAAGAACTCCAAGCCGGAGAGAGCGGAAGAGAGCGGAAGAGAGCCTGGTGAGCGTGCTGGCTCTAGGGTGGGGCCTCGACGGGTAAGTGCTGTTGCAATAACGGTAATGGCCACAGTAACGACAGCAGCAAACAACAGAAATAATAATGATCATCATTTTGCCGCGCACCGGAAGTATGCAAATATACGACATGGAACGAACCACAGACGACGGGGACAAGGCTCTCCTGTTCGTCAAGGATGCGGATGCGGACCCGACAAAGCCATGGCCTTAACAGGTCGCGGCCAAAATTAAAAGTTTGCCGCGAATGAAGCGTTAATGAAGGGCGGCGGTACACGAGTAAGTAAACAGTTTGCGGGGGGCGACGGCATAAATATGAAAATGAACCTCTGCTTCTGTCGTGTCCTGTCGTGAGTCCCCTCCATGGCTTCTCCCCCACCTTTCTGTGTCGTTTGGCTATGGCATTAAATGAAAATAATAATCTCTTTCGGGCAGGAAATGAAGGGAAATTCAGCAGGAAACTTTTGTGACGTGCCGCAAACAGTCCGTGTGCAAACACACACTCGGCGAGTCTCTCTCTCTGTAGTGTGTGTGTGTGTGTGTATTTGTATTTAAATTGAAAGCTCCAACACAAACAGAAGCTGCCCAGCACTCATGCAGGTGTTAAACTACGCACCCGCTCTCCACTCCCCGCTCTCCACTCTCTCTTTGTGTTTCACTGTGAGTGGGTGTGGCTGTGGCTGTGGGGCGTGGGTGGGTTACCAATGCAAATTACAGTCATTTGGTCCGCTATTTGTTCCAACCACTCCAACCGCCTTCCCTTTCGATCGTATATTATTTCAAAATGTTGAAAAATTTATATTTTTACTGAAAAAAAACGATGAAAGCCAGCCGAAGCTTGAAATACTCTGCTGAGCTTCGGAGAAACCAGAGCTCGAAATAAGAGAGAATAATACTAAACAAACATATTTTGTTTTATTTTATGCACAATTTTGTGTGTTTCGCCTTTCGCAGCCAATGAAAAAATAAAAAGATAAGACTTTGCCCTCAAGCTTTAATTTCGTCTACCTTTAAAAGCTTTGTAGAGAGATGGGTACTTTTTGCCCTCCAGCTTTTTTCCGTCTGCCTGGGCAAGCTTTACAAACAGATCGGTGCTTTTTCACCCACCGCCTAGCGCACGAAATGTGCCTCTTGTTGTTGTTGCTATAGCGAGAAAGACGTGTTCCATCTTGCTTCCTTTTTGCCCGCCAGCTTTTTTCCGTCTGACTTGGCAGATCGCTGCTTGTTCTGCCGCTCTCTCTTTCACCCGCCGCCAAGCGCACGAAATATGCCTCTTTGTTGTTGTTGCTATTGCGAGAGACAGACGTGTTCCATCTTGCTTCTTTTGTCCGCCAGCTGTTTTTCCGTCTGACTTGGCAGATCGCTGCTTGTTCTGCAGCTCTCTCTCTCACCCGCCGCCTAGCGCACGTAATGCGCCTCTTGTTGTTGTTGCTATTGCGAGAGACAGACGTGTTCAATCATGCTTCCTTTTTGCCGTCCTACTTTTTTCCGTTTGCCTTGGCAAGCTTTACAAACAGATCGGAGCTTGTTCTCCCGCTCTCTTTCACCCGCCGCCTAGCGATCGAAATGTGAATCTTTGTTGTGGTTGCTATTGCGACACAGACATGATCCATCGTGCTCCCTTTTTGCCGTCCTGCTTTTTTCCGTCTGCCTTGGCAGATCGCTGCTTGTTCTGCCGCTCTCTGTCTCTCACCCACCGCCTAGCGCACGAAATGCGCCTCTTTGTTGTTGTTGCTATTGCGAGACGAAGCCACGAAGCAGAGCACCCGAAAGCGCAGGTAGAAAAAAGGTGTTCGGTTCAGTGAGAGATCAGCGCGCTCGGTTGTGCTTGGATTCTGTTTCTGTTTTTTGTTGTTGTTGCTTGTCCGAAACGCTCTTAAAGCCTTCGATTTAAGAGTTCCGCCTAGCCCAAGAAAGAGTCTTTTCGTGCCCTCAGGCCGTTTGTATTTGTGTTATTTCCACAGTCCACAAGCCTGTGGTCAAAATCATGATACTCTTCCTTCATGGGCCATAAAAATCCACACAATTTTTTCCCGTTGACTGTCAATGGCTTGTGGCCCTGGCACGCACGATATCTATGGCTGGCCAAAGGAACTTAATGGCTTTCACAGGTGTTTCCCTGCCATTCCCCCTGCCACTATCCCTCGCCACCATACCCATCGACCAGTCAGAGCAATAAAACTTTATGTGCACTCATTATGCACAACATATACCCACCCCCCACCCCACAGAGGGATTGCATACTCGAGGACTGCCATTAGTAGTGCATACTTTTCGGGGACCGACAATCTGTGCACTTGGAGCACTCCGTAGCCCCCGTAATTATCACTCCGGCAAGTGGATGGGGCGATAATGACTTGATTCCAGTTTGGCAGAAGGTATAAATGGGTATTAATTATTATGATTACGACTGTGGGAGTGGGGGGGATGGGGGGAGAGACACTGAGGACTGCCCAGGGACATGCCATATTCGTTGGCGTTCATTCAGGCGGAATTTGGCAAAAGGCCCCGAAAAACTTCAAGGGTATTATATAAATGTTGGCCCTGGCCAAGACTTCTAAGCATATTTTGAATGCCAAGCAAATCCTTAGCCCCCCGCCACCCCCCCTCTGCCTCTGAAAGTCACTTCCAAAGTTCAAGTCAATGTCGCAAAATGTTAACGGCGCGTTAATAATGCGATTAGTGGATGCTACGGACCCATTCCGAACCAGCGAACCACCCACGGGAACCTCGAGACCCCAACCCCACCCCACCCCACCCCATTTGAATGCCGGGGAAACATTGGAAAATTGGCTTTAATTGGTGAAATGTTTGCCGCAAAACATGCCACACAGAGAGAGAGAGAGAGAGAGAGGGAGACGAATGTGGCAGCCGCTAATTAATAAATTTCTTGGGGATTTCTAGCTTTTTGTTGGGGTTCGGTCTGGCTCCTCCTCGTATAATTATCACATGACAATCGCCTGGGGTATAGAATGTGCCCCACTGCCCCTCCATCCTGCCACAATTACATTTTGGTGTTGCTGTCGGCGCCAATCCCCTGGTAATAGGATATTTTCAATTTCCATTTCGCTCGTTCCCTTTTTTTAAGTTATGGCCCCACACCCACACCCACACCCAGCCCCCCACCCCCTCTCTAGAGGAATCATTCAATCATTTTTTTCGGTTTGTCAACTACCAGCCGGAGAAGAGCTATCCGGGTGAGTCCTGGTCACGTAATTGAGCCGTACAGAAGAAGTAGGGCCGTAGCCGCAAAGAGGCTTTGCTTTTCCCGAGCAATATAGAAAATGAATTGTATGCAGGGAAATATGAGGAACAAACGGTACAAACCGCAACACAGCGGCCCCCAACAGCTGAGCCACACAGATTTTCCGCCCCCCAGAAGGGGGGGAGGGGGGGAGGGGGCCACAGTCGGCTGGGCTTGGGGCAAGGCACGACGACGACTGATGGAAATTTATTGCCGGCTACATACCCAAAGGGATTCGCAAATATCAGACCAGTACATCCCCAAAGCGGGGGGGGTTGGGGGACCCCCCCTCTAAACCCATGAACACACCAAATGCGGTTTTAGCCGTTGAGAGAGGCGAAAAACAAAAAAAAATCTGTTGGAAAAATATATGACAGCCAGAACATGTTGCTGCCACACCCGACTGCTGCTGCTGCTGCTGCTGCTGTTGCAAGCACGCACTGTGCATATTTTGTTATGAAAATTTAAGTGAAATCACTAAAATGGCAAACAAAACGGCAAGATATGCAAAAATCCAGTCGGGTGGGGGATTTTTGGGGGGTTTTGGCTAAACCCTCGAGGCGGAAAAACAGCTGTTGT